AATGAGAGCATGTCCCATTGCTGCCAATGGTGATTGTCACAATGGCAGGAGTGTGTTGGGATATGACAAAATATGAGTTTTTACGTTCCAAAAAGAAACTATTCAAGTACAAAGTTTTCGACACGTACGATCGGACTTTGATCGTGATGTCGGGATTTGACGCAAGTATGCCAGACGGCGACCCTATACAAGTGAGATATCAATGTTGTGTACAATGCAGTAGGGAACAATACAATATGTCCCAAAGTACTGTATCCAACACAGGATCGTCGTAGAGGTCGAATCAAGTTCTGTAAACAAGGGATTTTCCAAGGGAAAATCTTTGAACTTACTTTTGTGATTGAATCATCAATTCAAGCCAAATATTAATCAAATAGGAACAATTTCACTCAAAGTATACCTAGACAAAGGAGAACTATTGTCGTGAAAGTGTTGTACAGTCGATTACAAATTTAGATTGCAGAGACTTTGTTCTGAGCGCTAAAGTACTAATTTAGTGGGGAAGAGAGTTAGTCAAATCTATCATTAGTGATAGAGAGCTGTAATTGGCTCATACCACTAAAAATAGAATCACCCTTAGTGAATCGAAATATGAGCCCCGGGGGAACATATCGGATAAATGGGGTTTGCAAATCAGCTCACGACTACCAGCTTCTACGTACGTGTACATGTCGTCAGCTGGAACCACTTTCAAAAAGCAAATAAAAATATATGAGGGGAGAGTTTCAGGGGATATGAGAGACTCGTGAAATACCAGTGCTTAATAATAATCAGGAAGATCCAGTTCTACCGGTAGATTGGATGGTCCTGGATCATCAAATATAAAGAATTAGCAACCTAAAAACATTCTATACCAGCCACTTGCAATCTGATACGCAAACCTGCTTTTCCAGAATGGACGCAACCTAACCAAACCACCTAAGCTCCAGTTGAACAAGTTAGAGAATGCGACAGTATATTGGCAAACCGGAATGACTTGCGTTACATGGTGATGGAGATGTCTGATAGTAGAAAGTATTGTTCAAGCTTCTAACTTGATTCTCTATTGACTATAATTTTGTCTTCAACAGTAGTATCCAGTTTGAGTGTCGTCTTGTCATTGTTCAAGTCAAGTCACTGTCTCCGCATTGGAAGAATCAAGCCCTCATTTGTTCTATTCTATTCTCTCGTCAGAATTTTTTTTCACAAAGAACTCTGCAAGCGTCTTTCTGTACGATAGTAGACAGCTTCGTTCAAAACACTGGCCTGGAGGGAAACAAAATGGCCACAACTAAGCCCAGTCGGGATTCTGCGTTTGTTGTCGTTTTTGAATCTTTCCCAACCAATGTTGATTATTGTGTCTTTGATCTTTGCATACACATGTAGATGAAATTGAGCCTTGCGTTCGCCCTTTACGTTTCTACCCAAACAACAAGCTTCAGGTCCAGCTAATCAGCAAATTGCACAGGCTCGTTGTCGCAAGCCTCAGAGAAGTGTATAATTCACTAGAATCGCAGCGATAATCTCAACTGGTAGATTTGACTGCTCTCTCATGCCTTGTTTGACATTTCCAGGATGATATCGATTCAATCACAAGATGATGCGATCAAATTGTTTGAACCGCATTCCATTAAGCGCGAAGTTGGGGGGTGGTTGCACTTCTATCGATCCGTAGGACCTCTCGATCGATTGCATGTCTCTCATAACAAAAATCCTGACTCCGAATCCACAATGCGGCGTATTGTCGCAGCTCGCGTGAAGCTGATGATTCAAGTGAAGGAAGCGATAGACAACTTGGGATGGGTTTGTCTGACAAAGAAAATGGACAAACACTTTACTTATCCCGAGGTACGTTTGATCAGAACAACAATTATTTGATTCCATCTCAAGAGCCCTGTTCACCTTACTTTTTGATTTTACCCATTTCTTTTTCTGATTGGCAAAATAGATCAGGTGCCCTTTTGGATGTTCGAATTTCTTCACACAAAAAACCATGTCCAGCTGAAGGACTTCTTCCTATGGTGCTACCCCAATTACGAGATGCAATGTTATGAAATTCCAAAAGGCAAGAATCGAACGGATTTTATTTCTCCGTCATAACCGAGTATATATTTGATATTGGAAAAATTTGTTTGTTCCCCTGGTATTGCTATTACAGATGATGGACCGATGATCTTGTGCTGTCGAGAGCATTTGACAAGTACAAAGGTTGTGTACTTACATGTAACTGAATCGCCTACTAGAACTATATATACACCCCATGCAAATAGTTTTGTGCTGGTTGCCATACGGTCAAGGACTAATAGGAGATTCAAGGTAAGGTGGTGTTGATTCCAAATCCTTTTGTCACATAGTCATTTTACTTATTCTCTAGTTTCTTTTTCAATTGAGATCATGAACACTGGAGTTCTTGACAACGGACATGCCAAGTTCTCAGCGGAAATGATCCATTTAATTTGTAGGATAACAATTGCGCATCTGGAGCGAACGAAGTGATATATGACAGCATTCGATTTCTTTTTCGATTGAGATTCATGAACACTGGAGTTCTTGACAACGGACATATTGTCAACACAAGTATGACAATAACCTTGGATTGGGACGCCCATCATTTTGAGCTTGAATCGTAGTCCCTCAAGTAATTCAACACCTGTCTTTAGAGCAGCAAATTCGGAACCAAAACTGCTTGTCTTGATACCAGATGATAGGAGCGTTGTTAACAAAGATCAATACTCCTGTTCTTGATTGATGAGTAACAATGTTAGCAGCATGAGATGCATCAACAAACATAGTAAACTCTACTGCTTTGCCAAGAGGTGTAGGCATGTCACTTGGGTGTTCATCCTTAGTGAACTCATAGAAGTGTGAGTAATCAGCTTTCTTTAATGGTCTCAAATGATTGGCATAACCACAATCCATCACCAGTATACGATCAAGATGCTTCTGTAAATAGGCAAAAATATGTAAGGCAGCATGAAAGTGACCTTCACGAGGCATTGCATTGTAAGATGAGAGCATAAACACTTTGGCGGCAACATCGATACGACCAAGTTCCACAAGCCAGCGCAGAATACCAAGGAGCTGCATGTAAAGAATAGCAGTATCATCATTGACAAAAGGAGTAGAATCAAGTTCTGGCTTGTATCCAGTGGGTAAAGTTGAGTAAACCTATTTCTTCAAAGTCAGTTGCATTGGCGCAATTTGCTTCTTAGCGACTCTTGTAGGTATGCTTCAGATCCAATAGCCCAGGTGAAATAATCATCACCATCCAACTTGTGCTTCCATATTGTTGCACCAAGATATGTGGTTGGCTCTTTTATCGAATCAGGTTTCAAAACAAAGAAATTGTTGAGTTTGTCCATAATCGCTTTTGGATTCTCCGAGATTGTAATGACATCATCAGTATACACTAAAATATACTCATAATACTTCAAACCATCTTTGCGTTTACAAGGATGATGCCAAACATTGATGTCTCTACGACATGGTTGGAACTCCAATTGTTCCTTCAAAACGTCTGTACAGAGGCTCTTCCATGTGAATCCCAAACTTTTGAGTCCGTAAACGGCCTTAACCAGGATAGCTTTCTTCCGGGTATACTCTCCAAACTCCTTCTATAAAATACAATAGACTATCTTGGCACATTAGGCATTCAGATATGCACCGGAGACATCAGCACTCAAAACATTCAAACCATTCAAAGCAGCAATAACAAAATAAAGTCAAGTACTTTCTCTTGTCACAACACTTGCATAGGTGACAGACATTGGAGGGTCCGTTTGGTCCCCTCTAGCACATATCCGTACCTTCAGTGTGAGATTCATCTTGACATCAAAAGCAGTCATAAGCTCAATGAGCTGGTATCCGACGGGAACATCTTCATCTTCTTCCAGAATCTTCAAAGCTGGTAGCATTGTTTTGACCTCTTTGATCAAGGCATCATTCCAATGTGAGGTACCATTTTCAGCATCAAGTTCATACGCACATGCAACACCTTTGTACTTCAATACCAAACTTTTCTGGCTTCTGTCTTTTCACAGCACGGCGCTTAACAGCTTTCAAAACTCGATCACGCTTCCTCAGAGTGCAGGGAACCCACCATGCAAAGGCAGGCTCTGACACAAGCTTGTTTGCAATCGCATATTCAGCGATCTTGATAGGAAACGCTTCTTTTGCTACTGATAGATCAAGCCGTTTGGTTTCTCCACCTTTCATTTCAGCTAATAATTTTCATCCTTTTTTTGTCTTTCGTGGACGCTAGTATACCATCCATTGTCCCCTCTAACTACTCATCCATCACATTGATGATCAGTAAATTTCCGAATCCGGTACATCGTGTTACCTTTATCATCGACATTCATCATCATTCCTTCGATAATCTGATTTGCATAAAAGCTTTCCACCTTTCCATCCTCGAACTCCACTTGATAGATAGATGTGTCAAGGTGTGGATTCTCGTGGTAGTGACCAATCAATTTTCCAGATGAGTCACACTTCTGACCTTGGACCCTAAAAGTCTGAACTCCATCTGCATTGAAAGATACCATTGCAGAGACATATTTATCAAACTCAACAGGATCTGCTTTTTGATCTGGGTGTTGGTGAAATGGGATCTTGATAGGTAAAAGAACAGTCGAACATGTCGGACAGTTAAGTCGGACATTGGTGATATCGAACACGGACAGAAGTACGGTTCGAGTACGTACAGAGATGGATAAGTAT